AAAGGACAATAGCGCGTTCGTTCCCCACCATAGACACCTGCGGTCCAGAGTTTTGCAAATATCTCAGCAACGTTGTGGTTGTATTTCGCTTAGTACACTGGCGCGAAATTACAGTAGGCAGAAAATAAAAAGGTATAGCAAATTATTATGTCCAGATTTCTACTACTAAGTGGTGATCCGCAAAAGATCTTCCTAGGATGATAAACTGAGCCAAAAAGTTTGTGGAGCCGATTATTCACTGAGATAGGATAACATCGTGTTCTTGTCTTATTTGCAGTTTCAAAAGCTGCTAGAAGAAATGGGAGATGCGAAACTGTCCCTGTGAACAGACTACGAACTGATGAACGTCTCTGTTAACGTTTTGCTGTTTATTCATGGGATGTTAGAACCTACGACATTGATGCTTTTCTTTAAATCAGGCTTTTTCACTTTACACATCCTCCTCTGCTCTTCTTCTCTAAAACGCAGCAGTAACGATATAGCAATAACGAACATAAAAGTTACTAAGAATTTTGTATGAAGAACTCATGTCGTTCCGCTACGACCGCAGAAATAATGTCGGTGCTGCCAATACTCCTTAGAAAATCAAGTTTCCATTTTCTCTCAGACTCTAAAGAATTTCTCCGAAATCTGGATTAAAACAGTTTTTATTTTCTACCAGTGACTTGTTACTTGTTTATTCAATTAGTTGTTTGCCAGGTCATTCATGCATTTATCATCCATTCAGCCATTCACTCATTATCTATCCAATCATTCGTCCGTTTACTCAATTATCGTTCACTCACTCATTCACTCATTCATTCACTTGTTCATACTCATTGACTCATTGATTCACTCATTCATTCATTCATTCATTCATTCGTTCATTCGTTCATTCGTTCATTCATTTGCTCATTCACTCGCCGGCCTGCCTATTCATTCAGTTGAGGCCTCATGTGTGCGCAGTCATCCGGATGTGATGGATAGCTGGTGGCTACGTGAAAATGTTTTCATCTTACAGCAGGATTTCATATAATGGAAACATTTTGTCGAAAGAGTATGACGGACGTTAACTGTAGCAAGAAAAATCTCGCCAACAAAACTGGGGAAGTAGCAACATTACAAATCATTATTACTACTAAGTTTCATGGTACGTGGGAGCGTGAGAATTCGGTGGTTCGGGTAGCTTGAAGCGCGAAAATCCTTAATAGAGAAAAGAAATGTGTTTAATCACGGCTTCGTCCGAAAAAAATATGGAGGCAGACGTTTCTTTTCTGCAGAAACAAAAATGATCACGTGGCTGATGGGTGGATAAAGGCGTTTCCAGGTGATGATAACAATGCAAATATTGATGGCCAACCATATAATGAGATTGGCAAATATAAAATAACCAATAAAACAAAGATTAAAGCTGCGTAAATAATGCTTTCAAATAAAGCCTTTGATTTTTTCCTGTGTGTACACAGCTTCTTCCAGGAGGGATCCGATCGAAAAAATTTTCTTGATTGGTGTGCATTTACATCTCTTTCCGCTGCTTGAAGTCTCGTCGTCGCTTAGGATTATCCTTGAATGTTGAATTGCGATGTGCAGCGAGGTTCTCCATCTCAGAGAAGAAGCGACCAAGTTGAAAAGCAGTAAGATATTTATATCAGTTGAGAGTAAACGTACGCCACGGAGGAATCCTGCGAACTATCCATGGTTATCACAATTTTAACTTATTATTTTCTGCCTATTCTTCTTTAATGGCAGGGTATATTACGAATTATGACTTCAATGTTGCTGAGATATTTGCAAAACTCCGGACCGAAAGTGTCTGCGGTGGAGAACGAACGCGCTATTGTCCTTTCCGGGGAGTAACGCGTTCACCACCCCACCATGCGGGACCTTCGTTTCGCTTGTCTCTGAGCTAGTTTTATCGAACACTGCTATCAGCAATCACCCGTCAACGGGATTGATCTGGGGAGCCCAAATCGGCAATGAGCCCAGCTAAGCTGAGGCTTTAGTTATAATCACAATCTTAACGTTTTATTTACTGCCTACTCTTTTTAACTAGAGGGTATATTGCGAAATATAACTTCAATGATGGTGAGATATTTGCAAAACTCCGGACCGCAGGTTATCGATAGAACAAGCTGAAAGGCGAAACGAAGGACCCGCATGGTGTGGTGGGTGGTGAACACGTTACTCCCCGGAAAGGACAATAGCGCGTTCGTTTCCCACCGCAGATGTCGTAAAACAAATAACCGCTGAAACTCATGCCTTTCGTCGTGACTCCGTCAAACATAGCCATCGCATTCCGTGGTGGAATTCGATTACTGTAGCTGATATTGTCGTCTTCATGATGGGAGATAAGGCGTCTTATCAGCACACCTTATCAGTTCTGCCATGATAAATCTTTTGAATTCACAAACACTTTGCAAGCGTATCATTTTTCACTAACAATGGCTAACGAGGAGTCGGCATGTAAGTTACTCCACACGTTCATTGAGTTGTCTCATAATATTTGATCCACTAGGGAAACTGAAGTTGTATTTAATATTGAATTATAGTAAAGAAAATTTCTCAAAAATGTCGTTGATAATTAGTACCACTTATGGAGAACTCCTCCAGGTTGTGAGAGGATTGGCGATGGAAGAGCTGATCAAACAACTCACTTGAGTCCGGTGGACGGCCAACCAGCAATTAGCGACATTTCGGCCCACTCGAAGCCTAATATTACTAACTTGAAAGGAAGTATGAGTGGAGCTAAGAACACCCGAATGGCCTCAGATTCGACCCAAAATGATACTATGTCTTCTAAGTCACCTGATTTGCCCCTGCAAGAAGTAGATCTGATAAGTGCAACAACAATACAAGGCAACCGAGTGCCTACTGAATGTTCAACGAAAACATCTCAAAAGAACAAAAAAAAGTCTTGCGTAAATTCTAATCATTTAAGAAGAACTGCAAAAAACCCCAGTAGAAGTGATACTCTCCAGCAAAAAAAAGACGAACCCGGTGGAGTTAATGATGATGGGAAGACCACAAAATCCATGGCCAGAGTGATTAAGGTTTGTAGGGCCACTAAAAACGGGACTTCTAAACCGAAACTGGGCACAATCAGTGGGTCGGCCACAGAAGGAAGCAGAAGCCCGTCGCAGAACGCTGAAGTGAGCGAAAAAGCAACTGTTTCGTCCCAGCCGAAACAGGACGAGCTTTCGTTGAGTAGCATGCTTCCGGCGTTGTTCGGTAATGATGGGCCTTCGGAACTGAGCACTAATGCATCTGGTTCTGCCGAATCACAACGTCGTCGGCGACCAAGAATACCGATATCTGCTCCGCTCGAAATTCCAGAATTTCCAAAGAAAGCTAAAGATCCCAGAGCAGACATTAAACGATTCCGCTCTGATTACGCGAATAAATTTGCCATCGGGAGTAGACATACAGTGGAATTTTTCAATGGATCCTTCGATGATGTGAGTGATTTTGCAGATCTAAATGTGTGAAGAACAACCTATGTAGCCAGTTTAGGCTCAAAAGGAATCGAGAAATGCGATACGGCTGATGCTCGTCTTCTTTCACGATCCTACCAGTGAGGTGAACTTTTTTTTATGACAAGTGCTATCTACAATTTTTTATTTGTTACTTACTGAAGAAAGGGCGCGTGTAGCGCAATGATGGGAACGCCCTGCAACTCGATCTCTGCGCCCATGGCACACCAAGCCTTCCATCCCTCCGGGGTCGGCAAATTGGTAGCTGACTTGTCTGGGAGGGTAGCAGCACAGGCTTGATACATCGCTAGGTTACCGCGAGTCACCGTAAAGGCCAGATATGCATTCAGTCACAAAAAAACGACGCTTAATGAAGCCGAATGCATGGCACATCCCTCAGGGCTTGGCCAACCTCTAGAGCTCTATTCTTTATCCTTTACTTACTGAAGAAAACACTCACTAGTGGTGCTGCAAAAATCTGCTGAGTGTTTCTCGCGTGTTAATATCTATGGTAGAGTAATACTAACGTAAGTTACTGAGATTAACCTAGTTTCAAAATCTTATCTTTACGAAGTTAGCGTAGAAAGGAAAACCCTGTGACCAGATTGTTTCCTCCTATACGGAATCTATCACAATTAAAAAAATCTAATGTAACTAACATTTTCCATTAATATGTCGTGGACATTATGGAAAGTTCAAAAAGCTCAGTGGTTTAAAATGAGTCTCACCGTTCCTGTAGGATGTTGGGCTTCAGACTTCAATGAACCTGAACTTTGCGTGATCTAATGAGTACTTTAGGACTCGAAAAGATTTATTCACGAATCGATTAATTCCATAGAATTTGGCGAACTCATTTCACGTAATCAGCTCATCGTTTGGGGAGTAGCAAAAGATTCGGAAGAAGGAAAATATGGTACTGTTTATAAACTTGGCTAATTTTGAGACTTTCTTATTTCCCTAGCGTGCTGACCTAACAGACTAAACCTCAAAATGAATTCTCACTACTCTTATTTAAAACTGTTAAACAACATGCAGGAATAATTGACATGTCAACTTCTGGAAGGAAAACGTAACGCAAAACACTGGAGCCAGGAGGTGCTTTGCACTCTGTCCAGGACCTATCGTGCCTTCATAGGCTGGACTTCAAACTTATATTTGGAGCATTCACAGCAAAGCAGGTTCTCCAACAAATGCCAGTGAAATTGTGGACAATTCCAGTGCTTTAAGAAATTGCTGAGTCCATAGAAGGGATTTTGTTTTCCCGCTCTAATGGCATTCATAATTCTACAATGTTGTATCAATTTTAAAAATGTCAAAAAAATAAAAATATGAAAGTATTTAACGCAAAGGTGACTGCCAATAACACCAAATGGGAACACCACTGTATCCTACTAGACGAAGTCCAGCATGGTCAATCGCTTCGTTGACCGACATATGAGCTCTAATGGAAGAAAAGGTGAAAAAACGACTAGTAAAATTCGAGTTCCAAGGTAACAGAACGACAAGGCACGGGTTTCATTGTAAAGACATTAGACTCCAATGTTTTCCTGACAACGAAGTATTTGACGGGAATATAGAGCTCAGCAACACAGCTCTAGTATAATGAGTGGGTAATTACTGGAGAAAGGACAAGAAAGAGTAGGAATGAGTAAAAAAGAGAATAAAGGAATGACTTCACAAGTAAATGAACTCGCATGGCGTTTCAATAAAACGAATCGCACCACATTTTCTACCTAAATGTCGATCGATGGGTCAAAAAGTGCAACCAGATCGGGCTGTTGTGGAAGAGGAAGCATTAACAGTATGCTACAAAACAGATACCATTCACGGCTAGGAGATATTGCATTCAGCAAAGACGATAAAAATGCGAAGGCCCATCATCCGCGAGAATCTTCCAAGTTTTCCGTGTCGATTCGACTGCTGCTTGAAGATTTTGCTTTTCGTTATGAATCTCGTTGAATTGTTTTCGTGTCGATTCTTCTGGTGTTCTTAGATGGCTGAGCTAGACTGTTCTCACATGGATTGCAGAGAGTGACCTTCTTTCAGACAAGTCTGGTCCCAAACCGTCGAGGCCCCGGTGGTAGATGAGACTTGGAGAACCCGGTGCAGGATGAACCAGTACTGTGGTCGCGACAATCGGCATCACTTCCACTGTGTTATCGCCTCCTATCTCTGCATTCATTCTGTGTATAAAGAAACCAGAAGTAGCTACTAAAACATAGAAAAGATGTTTTTATAGTCATTTTGCATCAAAATATTCGAGACTGTTGAACCATGTATAATTTATTGATAGAATTGGGGCTCTTTCGGCCGGTAACGTTTTGTATTAAATCGATAGCTTCTCGAACACGAAGCACTCATGCGAAAGGAGTTATTTCTTGCGCACTAAAATTTACAAAATGCGTTTATCAGTACGAGTTTTATTCGTCGTCAAGAATCCCAAGGTGATTCCCTGCATACTGTGTGCCCGGGTGGTTCCATTCTGCGCAGCGAAAAATTGGGTGTCTTGCTAATCTGTAATGTATGAATCTCCAAGATAGTAGAAAAGACGGCTTTGTTTCAGTTGCTTTCATTCAACATGTGAACAAATTCCCTTCCTTGGCTCTGATGTGTCCACGGTCTGATGGACGATTCATCACGGTAGTTTCCAAAAAATTCATTGTATATTTGTGTATGCTTCTGTTTGTATGTGTGTATGCGAATGTGAATGTGTGTATACGTGCGCCTTTTCGATTTTTTCGTAAAGTTTAGCACTTTTTCCTAAATACTGGAACTATTTCTGCTTTTTAGGCTCGCCGAATAAGCGGTTTTACAACAGCTACTAATCTCGTCGACAAACTTCAGAAATCTATCGATGTCTTACAAACCGAACTCAAGGAATTGAAAAAGCAAAGGCAAACTACTCATTTACTTGGATACTTAGACGGCCCGTCCTCACTAGTTGTGCAAGGCTCGGCATAATCTCCATCTTTCGGAATTTTGCTGGCTAAGCCTTTGTGTTTCCTTGGAGTCTTGTGGTCAGCCTAGCCAAAGTCTGCCCCAGGTCGTCACCACCACAGGCTTGTGGGACAGAAGGAGATTTGCCACCATGTGACTCGTTTCATACCAAGACGCTGGTGGATCCTGGCATTGGCTTACTCTTAACTAGGCTTTTTCATGGAAAAGCCGGACCCCTTCTCAGTTCGGGAGATCCTGCCGGGGGGACGAATCCACCCGCTGCAGATCACGGCCCGGCACCCAGGAACAGCTCCCAGCTACGATGAGGCGATAAACCGTTGGAAATCTTCGTTTTGTTTTTAAGAGTTCTGTTCTCCTACTCTTAGATACAAAGCAGAAAAAACCAAACTAGTGTAGTCTCTAGGTGCTTGTTTCCAGCTCAATTAATTATGTTTGAAAGAGAACATTCAGAGAACTTATCATGAACAACCGGCGACTAATGCAGGAGCAAGAAAAAGCATATAAGGAAAGCGCTGAACGCGATAAGCAAAAAATACTTGAGGTGAAGAAAGCCAAACAGGAAAAATTGGAAGCTGAGAAGAAGCAAAAGAAGAAGCAGAATGAAATGGAGCAAAGAAGACAGGTGAGCACAAGCGGTTCTGTTGGATTTGGAACAGAGAGATGAGCGAAAATTCAAGTAGACTCGTATACCGTTTCCCTTCTTCAATGCCAAGGACTTTAAAGATTTTGCTCGTTTGGTAAAGCTATATTGTTATAGCGAAATAGATCCAAGAAGAAAATTTTACTTCACAAACCGACTTTCTTTGACCTCAGTACGAATGATCAATGTAGTTTCTAGGACGAGGTAGACGAAACAATTTATATTCGGCTAATGTTTCGATATCTTCGTCTTCCTTACAGCAAATGACCCGAGTGGACGATGTTCACGGTTCTTCGCACTCTCGATGTTGTCTTCGTCGTCGTATCGAGTCGGATCTTCTTCAGTGGAGCGTTGCTCAAATCTATTTTTACACCATGTGTTCAACACCAATTCAGTCCGGAGAGAATAAATCGTTGCTCCGTTTCTTCTCAACAGAGTTGCTCGAATATTCGTCGTTCCGCTCATCAGTTACCCATTTAGTTCAGAAAAGACGTGCTATGTAAATCTACTATGCTTGCGTCCAACGATTATCTTTGAATACTGGCGCATCATGAATGCTAAGTTACAAAGTTTTTTTAGCTGATTAAATAAGTAGTGTTGCTCCTATGGTTTTTTACCAGTTGCCAGCTGCTACGATTCATGTGAAATCGATTTAGAATAACTCTTTCTGAAATTGAGCCTCAACATATTAGTGATATGTTAGATTCAGAACTTAAGACATGTACTACCCCAATGCCAATAAACATCTAGCAACAAGTAGTACAAGTTCATCCTATCGTTTGCCGATGGTATGTTGAAAACTAGAGCAATATTGTTATTGTTATAAAAAAAATGGCACCTCGAGTTTGCGTTTCAGGTCCATATTCATAAAAGAAAGGAAAATACAGTGACGACATTACGACAGAGTTTCCTAGATGTAGTTCTGAGTCTCAACCTTGAAAAGAGAATACAGAAAGCCATGAAAATCCAATGAATATTACCTAATTCGTCAATTGAACTAAGGACCTTGTTTTCATTGTCACCGACGCTATCTACCTACCATAAATGGCAATGAGACGTTTGCCATTTATAATCGTCATCTCTGGACTTAAAACGACGGAAAATTACAGGTGTTACCTGCAATCTCACTAGTTATCCAGCAGAATAACCAACGATTTAGGATAAACGATAAGTGGTTTCCTCTATGAAAATGGGAAAAATCTTAATACGTTCCTTCTTTAATACGCTATCATCGTTACACCAGGAAGGTAGATTATCAGAAACGCGATATGCAGGTGATCGCCGAAATGCGGAAGCAGCTGAAACTGCAAGGTGAGCACCAGCCGATCGGGAACGATCTCATCAACGTGCAGGTCAGATTCCCGTCTGGAAAGAAGTTTGCGAAGAAATTTGCTCTTGACGACAATTTAGAGGTAATGATTTTTGGATGTAGAATTGAAGTGGATAGAACGTGTGAAGTAAAAATATTATTAATGGGCTTCATTTTTATTGAATTTTACATTGATTCATCATTTATTTGCATAAACACTTACGTTCAAATGGATGTTAGCACGGAATTCTGCACCTGTTCCCTACTATTAAAAACCCTAGTTTCAGTAGAAACAAAAACCAAAATCTATGATATCACTGACCCATCCTTTCCTATGGTAGTCGATCGGCAGGTAATCGCTGACATATTGAACGAGTCCTAGTCGCAAGCTCGCAGAAGTTCTCCCCATCCACAAGTCGTGGCTATTGTCACTATTTTTAAGACCTGAGAAGGTACCGCATGCCATTATTAATATTCCAGAAAAAAGCTCAACTGCTACTTAATATATCAGTAAAAATGGAAAGGAACGGACCCTTGAGCGAATCCACACCACGACCCGAAGACTTCGTCGAATGAAACATCCAAGCAATTAAACATGTTAAAGGATGGCTGGCTCTGGCCATCACCTCAACGAGACATCTTTGTATTTAAAAGTACTACTTCTTTCTGACCTCTATAGTTTTCATATTGTATGATTTTGCGATTGTCTTCAAGAGTTGGTGAAAAAACGCGGCTGAAAATAACCTTCGTACTGACGGTGCAAGCTCATTTTTTTGTATAAAGTTCCAATTTATAGAAGTTATTCACTGCAATCCTCTGCCACGACACTTGTCCGGACTTCTTCACCGTAGCCACGGGCTTTCCACGTTCTGAAATTCATTGCGCTCCAGAGTGGTCAGTACCTTTTCAGTTCTGATAAAATCAGCAGCAGAATTATCCATTTTTCTATTCGGTAAGGGTTTCTCCGAACCGTTATAAGTTCATAGGTAATAGGTCTTAACGTTGTATTTTCTATATTAAACCAAAACGTCTCGACTGGACACTACAGTGTCCTGCGCGAAGAAGAACAAACCACCTTGTGGACGCCACAATGTCCACATTGAGTTCAGTTGGTTCCAGAGTTCTTACTGGACTATTTATACTCAATCGATAACTAATCGAAAGCAGATCAAAATAGTAAGGGTGAGATCACAGAATCCATTCTCCATTCTCTACACCTAGTAATTTACAAAAAATACCTTATCAGATGATTTCACTTTGCGGCGAGAAGATAAAAAATGAGAAGCTCTCGGCGTTGATCAACCCCTGGAGGATGCGCCAAGCATTCGACTTCATTAAGCATCGTTTTGAGGTGATTGAATGCATGTCTGGCTTTTACAATGACTCGTGGTGGCCTACCGCTTTATCCAGCCAGTATGCTACCCTCCCAGACAAGTCTGGTACCAACTTGCCTAACCCGGAGGGATGGACGGCTTGGTGGGCCAAAGGTGCAGGAATCGATCCCACGTATGTGTTGTGGGGCGCCTCCGACGACTACGCAACACGTGCCCTTTTTGCGGTGATACATTCTAAAATACGACGCTTCAAAAAATACACTGTATATAAGCAAGTGAACCATCCAGAAGCTTTTATAGATATTATTTAATAATACACGTATAGTTCGTGCCAACGAACTTGCAAATAGTGCCTAGGAAGCTCTGCGCTTGAACAGACTAGTTGTCAACGAAGTGATTTATCGTCTTTCACGTTGGGAAACAATTCTCAATTCTTGTTGTCACTTTTCACAGCTTTCTTTGAAAATAACGCTCAAAGCCACTTATATTACCATCTAAAACATTCAGAATTTATCGTTGTTCTTTCACACAGAACGACGGCATTTGTTGGGCTGAGCGAAATCGAATTAAAGAGCATACTGTTGAGTTGATGGATAGCAGCCGTACAGAGTAGTACATGGGCGATAACTGTGTCTGTGTCAGGTCACTAGATTAGCCCGAGATATGGCGCCAGGTTACGCGTGATGACAAGACACTCCTTGCGGTTCATTTTTGAATTTCTGGAATTGATCCAAAACGCATCAAGAGTTTTACGCGCTGATGTTTTTGATTCGTGCGTGAGGATAGTGACTCCTACTTCAAAATCTTCCCCGCTGTGTTCCTGCATCCTATGCGCGCCTAGTGGAGTGTTTGGTTTTAACTTAGATTTACCGACTGTGTTCTTTTATGCGGACGCAGAGTGGTCTACCCGTTTCGCCAACGTATTCGTCCCCACATGCTTTACAAGAAATCAGGAAGACTGTACCCAAGTTCGGGTGGGGTTATGAAAGTAGTGAAAGTTTTACTAGGGTTATGAAAGTGTTTGACTGGGTAGAGGAGTGATATGACTAAACTAAGAAAACCAAAGATTCCTAGGAACTATTGGAAGAGAAGACGAATGCTCACGAGCTCCCTCAACAACAACATGCTACACTATCCTGCTCGCCTTCACCTTCTTCATATCCATTACTAGCAAGTTGACTAGAGGTGACTCTCAACTCTAGAAAGTCCAATCGTTGAAACAGAAGACTACCATGAAAACCGAAAAGGCCGTGATAAAGGATTAATGAAGAAGTAGAAAAGTCGGCTAATGAAGTAAAACGGAATACTTACTACAAAGTCAGCAAATTCTGCGTTCAACTCAGAACATGCTTTCTCCTAAGCAATGCTTTCTCAAAAACGTCATCACCACTAACCAGCCAGAGTTCATCGAAGACTCAAACGAGTTTAGTTTCGGCCATACTTGGACTCTATAGAATTATACCGCTGACGAACGCATAATGATAAACGAGTATCTCAAGATTTCAGAAACATGTGTTACATCATTATTACTGCACGGAACTCATAGGTAGCATGAACGGGATCGTTTTCACTGAGGTTCTATAAATAGTGTATAAAAAGTTCCAAAGGCAACTACTGCTTATTTTTGCGTTTAGACGATGTAAACAAAAACATTGTAAATACCGGATTGGAACCACTGCAGCTAGCGCGGGGCACGAATGCACCGAAACGTTAGCCACAAAAATCATCTAGTACCAACCTTATGCAAGCTCATGAATAGAAAAGAAATACCGATTACTCATACAAAAGTTAACTGCAAGTTGGTAATTAGAAATATTATTGTTTACTTAGTACCGGTACTAACAACAATGCCATATCTGTGCTTAATATTATAAACCAACCACTATTCGTAAGTAATTGTATACAACGCAAATACGGAAATTTAATTGGGTACTTAGCCTTATGCTTGCATTAACATTCGTCAGCTTTATATGTTCAAATTAGGTGGTTTGTCGTACAAGAACAACGCTCAATGGTTGCGAAGTTTCTGCTTGATGCACTACTGTTGACACTACTTGACGGTTTAAAAATGAAACTATTGAAAACATCACAGCTTAAGCACGAAAATGTATATATCACGACACGACAGGGCTTTAAGTAGAAGCAGAATAGAATTGAAGGAAGAAAACCACTCACCACTAGAACTAGCTAAGAGACAGGCGAAATGAAGGACCCGCATGCCGTGGTGGTGAGCGCCTTAGCCTCCGGAAAGGGTAATAGCGCGTTCGTTCCCCACCGCAGACACCTGCGGTCAGGAGTTTTGTGAATATCTCGACACCATTGCGGTCAAACCACTTACCTTTTTGATCTGAGGCGTGATAGGATCTACAGCAAATGAGTTAGCCGATATATCACCAGAAATAAAAAAAGGAACACTTAGACACACATATCTGAAAACACGTAGCAAATGGTAGCGACAACATATGACGACTTACAATGTATAGTAAACATATGGATACAAGGAAGAAAAACAATAAAATAAATAGTAGGTGTTAAAATTAAACAACCAATTTCTATAAGTGTGCTACGTCCTTAACCTGCATTTTCTTAGTCCACAAAAAGGTACCGAGCATTGTAGAAAAAACAGCACCGTATATTATTTTAGGGTTTAAGAACTCCATAGTACATTACATATGACGTACAGTGTTCAATCTTCAATCAGTAACCCATATCCAAGCGCTCGTGTGGCGCAGTGGTTGGGGTTGCCACTGCGACACATGTGGAATCGATCCCTGCGCCAGTGGCCCACCAAGCCGTCCATCCCTCCGGGTTCGGCAAAATCGTACCTGACTTATCTGGGAGGATAGCAGCACTGGTTCGATACATTGGTAGGCCACCACTAGTCATTATGAAGGCCAGATATGCATTCAATCACCTCCAACGATGCGTAATGGAGTCGAATGCATGGCCCATCCCTCAGGGATTGATCAACGCCGACAGCTTTATCCTTTCCATATTTTTTAACCCATATCCATACCATTTGGCAGCAATACGATAACTCGCTAATGGCATACGGAGTGCATAAATGTCGTGGTAGAAAGGAAATAACGATATAAACTCAATTTTGCAAACAAGAAAAACTACATGCTGAAAGCAATGCGATCGCATAGTTGACGATTGAAACACAAAGTGGTGCACAGTATATGGCATATACTTTCAAGAATTGCAGCAAAGTCACCTCAAAAAATAGAAATTTTAAGGTCAGAACACCGAAGTCTTTGAAGAAATATATGGCTTATCAACAAAAATTTAAAATGATGGCAGGCGGTATTGATTGGCATCGCGATAGGTGGCGGATGAGTTTAGCTGTTTTATGCAGCAGACGGAAAGTTGCTCATATGGGACAGGACCTGCAATGAAATGCTGTGGCGGGGTGCTGTGGGTTAATCAAAGTTAAGGGTTTGACTGCGTTCCTTTCTTTCATCGCCATTGGAGACATCAACGTCTGCCTATTCCTCTTATTGTGTTTCACGTATTGACACAAATAAGTTGCTTTATTAAGGTTGTTGGTGTCAGAATTTAAACTGATGAAGCGAAGATTTGCAGGTATCATTCTCTCTTATCTGCTCAACTGGTAGCAGACGGGCTGGCACCAAGTCCGTTCCGGCCGGCGTCGTCGTTTCGTGCAGTTGGCCTTGTCAAAGCTGTCGGAGTTTTCGTGAACAATCACTGCCCATATTCTGACCATCACTGATAAATATTATAGTTACACAGTGAAAAGCTTTGTTAACGACATACAGAATGAGATTTGAATATTTGTTGCCGTCTGGTTAACGACTGATGACTGACTGGTCTCTACTAATAAAAAAAAAAAACAGGCGTCGTTGAGTGTACTTCGCCTCACCAAACAAAAAAGTAAACAGACTTTTTGTAGAATGAGTTGAGTTTACTAATCAGTGCCTGAGGAAAACGTAATGCATTCGACTTTATTAGTAATACCACGATGGTGTTGTGGTGTATATTTCTCCCATACAATGAAATCTGATGGCTCATGTTTGAATCAGTGCTTCTTTCAAAATTTTCTCTTGAAAAACTCTAGTTCCAATTTATCAACACTAGAGAGAGAGGGGTTTAGCTAGTCCGTAATATGGGGGTGGAACTGACGACTCTGTTTGTATTGCACAGAACAACTCGAAACATAGCTCAACGCGTACGATGGATTTTCCAAGCGAATAACACAAGATAACATTTCTTTTCAGATATATTCCCTCGTGAACAGCGCTCTGTGATAGATTTCTACCATGTTTATTTTTTACAAATGGATCAATTTATTCAGTTTTATCGATGATATGTCACATCCCAATTTTTCTACTACTTTGACAAGTCGATGGTTGTGTGAAGGAGCCCTCTAAGAATAGGAATCAAATGCAGAATTTGAGCTAGAATCACAGATTCTTCTTCGGCCTATTCAAATTCTTTTAGTACTCAAATATGAAGCCATTGAATGATTTCTGCATCATTCAAGCACTTATCCATCTACTGTAATAAAATCCTCAAATATCTGCACCGGCCTCAATGGGTTTACTCATGCCACTCCCTTTACGATATTAAACAGTATCTTATTGCACTTATTGCATTTTCAACATATCGTGCTCATCCATTTTGTCAATTCAAGTGGATATCAGCGCTCAGAAGCACATCACTAGAAGATGCTGTCGCCTTATTTGCACTCATAACAAATTGATCGATGGCCATTACAATGGATCAGTTACGGTTAGCTTTTGACAGTTTTTTGTGTGCTTAGAAGATTCAAGGGCCCTTGACTTAAGTCCAATACATTTGTTTCATAACACAAAGGAAGCTAAGTCACTATGCAACTAGCTAACAAATTAAGTAGAATAAGGAACTCCAAGAAATTACGAGACGAAGGAAAACTTTGTCACTTGAGGCTTTTTTGGACATAGCTAGCATTTTAATTTGTTTTGAGTGCCTTTTTTTTTTTAAAAAAAATGACCCTCTGCAGCTCGCAAAAAGTAGGTAGTACCTTTTAAAACCATTCTCGGTCCGGATATCCTTTTATCCTCTGGATGGAAGAACTCAATTATTCCATGCATGCGGTGCTATTGATGTATTGTCTATGCTTGCTATTCAACCAATAGTCAAAGTGACAAGGAGAATGACGCCAAACAACAAACTTGCCTCCGGAAAGAAGACGGAAAAGGATTTGAGAGTGTTTTTGACACACTCTTAGTTTCCAGATCAACCTAATGGATTTTGCCATTGGCAAACGACAAATTTTAAGCTTAGATTTCAAATAAAACATTTTTAAGGTATATGTATTCTCCAAACATCTAGAAAGTCGACATTAACACTGGAGACGAGTAATACCTACAGCTGTCATAGTGGCTTTGAGTGAGAAGCCGGTAAGATAGTTGTAGATATCATTTCTTCTCCGGCGGTTTATATCAACATGCAGAACAATTTTTCTATATTTTTCGTTATCATTTGATGGCTTCTAGAATACAAGTATTGTGTTTAACGTAGTTCAGGAAAAGGTCTTTTCTGCGCTTATACATTACACAAAGTCCTTTTCCTAACGAGTCACTAACCAGAAATTTGGATGCTAATCGACTAGTTCAATTTTAATTCCTATAGTGAACAATAGGGTCGCAGTTGGCGCAGTGGTCGGAAGGTGTCCTTCAACACACACATGGAATCGATCTCTACGCCCATGGTTCATCAAGCCTTCCATCCCTTCGGGGTCCGCAAATTGTTACTGAACTTGTCTGGGAGGTTAGCAGCACTAGCTCGATACATCGGTAGGCTACCGCGTTTCATTGTAAAGGCCAGGTGTGCATTCAGTCACCTCCAACGATACTTGAAGAAGTCGAATGCATGGCATCTCAGAGATTGATCAACGCAGAGAGCTTTATCCTTTATCCTTTATAGTGAACGGCAGTTATCGTATAGAGTATGTGGGCATGAAATCCACTGAAATAGGGACCGATAAGTTGCATTTCAAGTGCTCATGGCAGTGTTCGTATAGTGGACCATAGTAACATGTAGTGAATAGTACCATGAATATCATTCATACCCACAGAAAGGAAGACAAGGTCTCTTCTATTCTCTCGTCATGTTCATAACCCAAAAATTTCTCTAGGTATCGAAAACTACCTGTTTACTTTTAAAAAACCAGCAACTACATAAAGGTTGAAAATTACGCGTCTTCTAGTCTCCAATAAACCTGAGAACAGGAGTTGCCGTGAAAGAGTTAAGAAAGCGCAATTCAAACCCTCAGTATAGTTCATATTTAATCTCAGCTTACCGTTTTCCGCACTTTCTTTGCACGTTTGATAGCAAGCGGATACGTTCAATCATGAGCTATCAAGCATGATTTTGCTTACTAACAATGAGAGACCGACGTGAGTAAATCTCCACTCATAGGGTGCGAAGTTAACTGCTGCTTTCAGCTTGAAACTAGCATATCTTACCTCGGAGTGAAATTTATTACAACAAAAAGCACAAGACTCGGAAAATTTTTGCCGATGGGTAAGTTTTCCTTCCATATTGCGATTCATTTAAGATTTTCTAAAGCTTAGTTAAGGTATTTTGTGCACTTTTTCTCCGTCGTCCCTCATTTAAAAAATGAAACCAGTTCAACCAGCGGTACTTCGCTCATTAGAATACGATGATGCCACGAATGGGCCTTCAAGGCATGTGACCACCGGAATTTCGTCTGATGTCCAGAAAACCTAAATTTCTGCGCCGTTTTCTGTCGATCCTAGAAACTGTTAAATCTCTGTTTTATTTTCCTTAGCAACTCTAATTCTAAACGACTCTAAAAAGTGAATAACGTCTATAAAAAGCAATGCTTACTACGTATACAAGATGTTTTTAGACGTCTCATGCACTTTGATTGCCAAAAATTTACCAACAGTTTGCGAAAAACCACCATGGAGCCTTACGTGTTCAACAAGTCTGAAGCAGGAAGTCTCATGAATTTAGTGTTGTTTTAAGAATTTGATAACATTTCCAATCATAGTTGATTCTTCTTTTTTTTTTCTTGCTTTCTAATTAATTGTTCGTCAACGATTTCCGTTCTACCTGCCCAAGTTCAACGCTGAAGTTTTCACTTTGGTGCAAAGTCGATCATTCGTCCGAAAGAGAAAAAAAATATTAAAGGTCCACTTTTTGTAAACTTCTTGATAGCGACACCACTACTAGTTCCGTTGCTTAACAGTGAAATATTAAGTGGTAACATTTGGAATGTCCGATTTTAAGTGGAAACTTCAGACAGCCATAACTTTTTTCATACTTATTTTACTTTTCGTGGTAAACACCACTAGCATTAGAACATTTTTTCACAAGAGGTATGTTTATTTATTTTAACTGCATAAAATTATGGAGGTCTGGAAGCGACGAATTCGTTTAAGACGTTTTTGCGTCATCGTCCTTGGTGAAGCAATTCTCAGCCAGGAAGTTGAGAAGGTGCTTGAAGAAGTAATAGTCGGTAGACGAGAGGTCTGGTGAATGTGGCGGATGAGGCAAAGTTTCGTAGCCCAACTCGTTCAACTTCCGCAGCGCTGGTTTCGAAACGTGAGGTCGGATGTTGTCGTGGAGAAGGATTGGCCCTTTTCTGTTGACTAATCCCGGTCATTGTTGTTGAAATTTACTGTGCATTTCGCTGATTTGTTGGCAATAATTCTCCGCCGTAATTTCACCCGGATCCAAAAAACTGTGATGAATCAGCCCGCCTGCAGACCACCAAACAGTCACCATAACCTTTTTTGTGCAATTTTGACTTTGGGAAGTGCTGTGGAGCATGGTCGCAATCTAAACACTGAGTTGAACGTCGCCAGTTGTCGTACATAATCAAATTCCCGTTGCACGCCACAGTTCCGTCAAGAAAAGGTCGCCTTTTGCTAGGCAGAATAAGAGCAGACGACACTTTAAAACAGTGATTATTTCGATTATTGTTTAAATCATGCGGTACCTACTTGTCGAGTTTTTTGTCTTTTCTATGCTATTCAATTGAGTGGAAATTACTTCTCTGCTTACTCCAAGCCGTTCTGCAAGCTCTCGAACAGTTGTTTGTGTGCGTGTGTTTCCGCTAGTGTCTTCAATTTGTAGTCGTCAAATTCACTGGGGCGTCCGCAGCCAACTTTAACTTCGAGGTCGAAATCACCAGGTCGGAATTTCTGGAACCACGTTCGCACTGTTGACTCACCAACACTACTTTCACGCCAAACGTGATGATATTCTGAGCTCCTGCTGCAGCAATATCTTCACTTTTCCACTCGTACAAAAAAGGACACGAATATCGTTGATTCATACGAAAGTTAAAGCCTATAAAAATGTTAAGATAACAAATCTTGAGAAAACCAGTACTAGATCTAGAAGGAGCAAATTTATGCTTGAAAAATATAAACAACAAGATTTTTATTCAAAGAAATTACGCGGAATATTAAAACAATAAAATTAAACATTTCGCATTTACCAACCTAATATTTGTGTGCAATTCGTTTCACTTCATCAGCCATCGTTAGAAGCGATTGAATGCATATGTGGCCAATGTAAGAAGTTGATGTAGCCTACCGATGCATCACAACAGTGCTGGTATGCTGGTATCCTTCCTGAGAAGTTTGGTACAAATCTGCCGACCCTGGAGAGATGGGTAGCCTGATGAGTGCTGACGAGAGACTAGAGCCAACGACCACATGTATGCTGCAGGGCACTTCCGACCAATGCGCAAGCCTCACCTCCACTGCGATTGAACTGCTTGAAATTTCCTAGTGCTTCAAAGTCACTCTTATATTTGCATAGGATCGGGCTTCCTTGGTTAGGTTCGGTTTTTCCTCCCTGACATGAGGAATAGTGGTGGAGAAGATTTTCTCGTGGAATACCGAGAATATTAAAGCGTACCCACTTTTCTTTCATTATAAGGAAAAAACTCCACTGACATGGCAGTGGATTTTTTCTAAAACAACAGAAACTTCCTGCGAAAAGTCAACGAACCGATCCATCCAGGAAGCCCAAAAGCTAATAATGTTATATTGACAATGTTTACCATGGTAGACGGCTACGACGGTTCTATAGTGAAAACTGTGAACGCGAATTTAGCAACATCGTTTAGTACATATGCGCTTTCCCTAGTATTGCTGTACAACCAAACAGCACGCGTATAATTGAGTCATTCAATGTTACTTCATTTTATAGCAACGTGTCCAATGACTCCGCAATGCAAGTCATTCTCCAGTTCCTCGTAGAGCATGAGAAGAAAATAAAAATGCACGGCTTGTCGATTGCGCAACTAATGACTCCCTTAAAATAGTGTCTTAGTTGTTCAATCTTTAGGTGGTCCGGTAAATATTTTGCACAAGTTAGAGGGTTGGCGATGGGGCAGCGTTCAGCACCAAGCCTTGCCATTGCTTTCGTGTCTATGACGGAAGCTCCAGTTCTCGGTCACCGACCCTTACTCTACTGTCGATACATAGACGACTGCTTCATCGTCTGTTCCACACAAGAACAGATGGATGAGTGCTTTGAATTATTAAACCGACAGTCAGAGTATATAAAATTTACACGAAAAAATCCTACCGAGANCTCGTAGAGCATGAGAAGAAAATAAAAATGCACGGCTTGTCGATTGCGCAACTAATGACTCCCTTAAAATAGTGTCTTAGTTGTTCAATCTTTAGGTGGTCCGGAAAATATTTTGCACAAATTAGAGGGTTAGCAATGGGGCAGCGTTTAGCACCGAGCCTTGCCATTGCTTTCGTGTCTAAGACGGAAGCTCCAGTTCTCGATCACCGACCCTTACTCTACTGTCGATACATAGACGACTGCTTCATCGTCTGTTCCACACAAGAACAGATGGATGAGTGCTTTGAATTATTAAACCGACAGTCAGAGTATATAAAATTTACACGAAAAAATCCTACCGAGAGCTGGCTTCCATTCTTAAACATCCAAATGAAGCTCTCAGTAAGTGGCTATGTAACAAAATGGTATCGCAAGCCAAGTAGTAAAAACACTCCAGTTCACTGCCTCTCCTCTCATCCTTCACACATGAAAAAAGCACTTATCAAAAATATGTATCGTACGGCTAAAAAGGTGTGTACAGGAGAAGAGAAAAGGAAGGAATCGCGAAACCTGGCACGAAAAATTGCCATTTCCAATGGCTACGAAGTAGAAGAAACTCGGGTTAGAGGAAAACGTTGGGNGTACATATGCGCTTTCCCTAGTATTGCTGTACAACCAAACAGCACGCGTATAATTGAGTCATTCAATGTTACTTCATTTTATAGCAACGTGTCCAATGACTCCGCAATGCAAGTCATTCTCCAGTTCCTCGTAGAGCATGAGAAGAAAATAAAAATGCACGGCTTGTCGATTGCGCAACTAATGACTCCCTTAAAATAGTGTCTTAGTTGTTCAATCTTTAGGTGGTCCGGTAAATATTTTGCACAAGTTAGAGGGTTGGCGATGGGGCAGCGTTCAGCACCAAGCCTTGCCATTGCTTTCGTGTCTATGACGGAAGCTCCAGTTCTCGGTCACCGACCCTTACTCTACTGTCGATACATAGACGACTGCTTCATCGTCTGTTCCACACAAGAACAGGTGGATGAGTGCTTTAAATTATTAAACCGACAGTCAGAGTATATAAAATTTACACGAAAAAATCCTACCGAGAGCTGGCTTCCATTCTTAAACATCCAAATGAAGCTCTCAGTAAGTGGCTATGTAACAAAATGGTATCGCAAGCCAAGTAGTAAAAACACTCCAGTTCACTGCCTCTCCTCTCATCCTTCACACATGAAAAAAGCATTTATCAAAAATATGTATCGTACGGCTAAAAAGGTGTGTACAGGAGAAGAGGAAAGGAAGAAATCGCGAATCCTGGCACGAAGAATTGCCATTTCCAATGGCTACGAAGTAGAAGAAACTCGGGTTAGAGGAGAACGTTGGGTAGTTTCCTAAAATAATATTTCAGACGAAAGTAGGATCCCCTTTAAGCTGCCCTTCATATCAAATGAACTAAGTCACGCCATTAAAAAGTGCTTAAGAAAAAGTGGTCTTGAAAATTATGTAACGATTATTGACATCCCACCCAGTACCCTACGCCGCCAGTTAGTTCGAAACCGTCTCTATGATCGCTTGTGCAGCTCAGAAAACCGAATGATCTGTCCAAACGGGAGAGACGGGGATTGCATGAGTTTAGGTATAATATACTTGATCTCATGTAATGCATGCGGTGAGGAATATATCGGGGAAACCGGTAGACCACTTTGTGTCCGCATAAAAGAACATCTGGATGGAAAAACGAAAATCCGTTTAAACACCCTTCTAGGTACACATAGGGCACAAAAGCACAACGGCGATGATTTTGAAGTGAATGTGCGGATCCTAGCACAGGAATCAAAAACATCAACGCGCAAAACTCTTGAGGCGTTTTGGATAAATTTCGAAAATCCAAAGATGAACCGGAAGGACGAATGCCTCACTATCACGCGTGACCTGGCGCCCTATTTCAAAATGATATTTTTACCCCGGGGTGTATCTTGCTCGCGACTCCACGTGAACAACGTGTGGGCGAGTCCCGCACGTAACATCACGGTGAGTGGCCTTTCTGTTCAATATGGCGTCTAAAAAGTTTAAAAAAAAGTTTGATCTTCATTAACACTTTAAGCTTTTTTCCACCGAATAATAAAAATATTCTAATATAAAATACGTCCAGGCTCCGAGGAAGGCGAAGTCGCCGAAACGTCGGCCATCGATCAGTAACATCAAAAACAACGACAACGACAACGAAGATCTGTACCAACCTCGCGTCAGCTTAAGAAGATCAGTTTATAAGATCACATAAATAAATATATCAACTATCTATCCCGAGGTTTATAGAAAGTCGGTCTTTCGAGTTATTAAATGAAAAGGTAGTTTATTAATAAATGTAGTAATTGAGAGAATTATTATTAAAAATCCATTAAGGTTATTTTCCAAAAGGCCTTGTCAAATAGCCCATTTTTGCTCCGGCTGGTTCAAGGCCGCCGTAAAACGAGGCGCCAAGAGAATAGATTGGTTCATTTCCTTCAGAAGAGTCCGGTAACACATGCAGGTAAGAACCCATTCCCTGAAAAGTTCTTATATTTCAAGTATTCATCTTAATGACTATAATCTTCATTTCATTTCGAAATTTCAATTCTAATAATGACGCTTGATTTTTCTCTCTCAGGCAAAAATGCGGCTAAAGGCTGTTATAAGTGCAACTGTGACAAGCTACAGAACTCCATGTTTTTGAAGAACGTACGGGCGTAAAATCCTCAAATTTCCCTGCCCAGAAAGTAAAAGACACCTGCTTGTTGCCATTTGCCGACATGTCGACTATCGAGTAGTACGGCCTGAGCATGCCTAGTAGCTCCGAATCCCCACCACCAACCAAGCCACCCACCTGGAATTCAAACTGTTATACAAGAAATTTCTAACGTTTTCAGTAGGAGCACAACTATTTCGTAGATGATTTCCGTTTACAGACAGGCCAGCAACACGCTATTCAGCAGTTAAGCTTTATTTAAACCATTTCACCCGATATCACATTTTGAACAAATATTTTGGGAACCTGGCGTCTGCATGAATCAGTAGTTTTTGGGTACTTAACGACAGCTGAAATCTAACGGCGAAGGCAAAATAGCGTAAACTGTATGTACTAGTTTTTTGTGGGATGTCTAGCTAAAAGGAGTAAGTAAATTTCCACTCCACTTAAATTTGTTCAAGTCACTTAGCCTGCTATTAATTTGAAGAGATATTTTAGTAGTTAGTAGTGGAATGTGGCTTAATGATCAGTAGTGAAGGTTGCTATGCAATACAGGTATTGTCTCTGGTTCGAACTCTCACGTTGGTCAACCAAAACTCCCATTTCTTTGGCATCGAAAAATTGGTACCAAGCTTATATGGGAAAGGCTTCCTCTGATTGATAATAACTAGAGTCTACCAATGATGGCCTCGGAAAGACTTGGTATTAGTGCCCAAGCGTTCCATGAACCACTAGGCGGTTTCATAGATGGGACGAAAAATTCTCAAGTAGCAGCTGAACACCCACGATAATCGTAAAACCTCTGTAAATGATGGATGTGTGGCAGTAAACCAAATGAACGAGCTTCGGGGATCCGTAGGATACTCGATGTTGGTTCATATGAGTGATTTCCTTAGATTATTCAACAGTAGCTAATGAATGTGTGAATATTCCAATTTTTACAAAAAGGGAGCAATTATTGCACATTTTGATAATCAATAACGAAACCATCATTCTTCCGTTAACACAAGTGGGGAACGAACTCTAAGACTCCGTGGGCCACATAAATAAGGCAAGCCATTAATGCACTATGTAAATATTTATATTTTCAAAGCACCTATTCCTTCACGGCTGCTTGATCTCGATTGTGAATATGATCCCCAATCGCGCATTCCCAAGACTTCCCAGCTGAGTGGCGGTGCAGTCAAAGCGAATCAGAATGCTTTGTGTTTGTTTAGAAGATGCTCGACAAAACGGCTGCATCCCCCTAGTGGAAAAAGAGTGACCGAACGCAGCTCGCCTACTCAAACAAAAGTGCCGATGTTAGCCCGGATATCGTCGATTATGCCTCTCCGCTTACTTCTACTCTACACCAACACTTTCGGCTACTTACAAGGTCAGCTCCTAGGAGATCGTTGGATATGTTCAGAAAAAAGGAGCGTAAAGGTTTGTGTGAGCTAGATGAAACACAACACATTTTGCAGAAGAAAAAATTGTCATAGTTCGAATGGATCCTAGAAAACAAAAGGCATCAGACATTAGGAAAAGCTACTAATTTGATGAATTTTTGAAAAAAGATATGACAACCAGACGCTGCGTTGTGAACAAACACTTATTAAAAAACTGCCCAGCAAATATTTTAGCAAGGTTTTTTAGAGCGAACGAATGTTATTACAGTAGAATGCAGAACAAGATATTTTACAAGATGTAGGAAATGGATAACTAATTTAATGTTTAATATAAAGACTTCAGGAGAACGTGTGACGCAGCGGTTGGAGGTACCTTGCAACACACACGTGGAATTGAACCTCACGCCCATGGCCCACCAAGCCTTCCAACCCTCCGGGGTCGGCAAATTGGTACTAGACTTGTCTGGGAGGATAGCAGCACCAGCTCGATACATCGGTAGGCCACCGCGAGTCACTGTAAAGGCAATATATGCATCCAATCACCTCCAAACGATGCTTAATGAGGTCGAATGCATGGCGCAGTCCTTAGGAATTGATTAACGCCGAGAGCTTTATCCTTTATCCTTTATAAGGACGCCTTTTATTCAATGTCGGTAAAGTCTTGACCACATTTAAAGATCCACTTGCGCATTCCGATCTTTTAAAAAGGAAGTGAATGCACTAGTTCTAACCTCGTCCAGATCCTTCATGCCTTGTTCACTGTAGCCGTAGTTGTTATCCTTCGAAACATCCACTTCATCGCCTCGATCTGAATTTATACGCCATTTGCGTCAGTTAACTTCTACTCATTTATTAAAAATTCAGTCTGCGCCTTCTAAATTGCCGCAGTCTTTTAGGACTTTAGTTTCTTGGATACTTCGTAAAAGAATTACTGAAGAAGCATTAACGAAGGATTTCCAGGATATTTTAGACGAAGGGCAAGGACCACTGCAAGAGTTCGAACAGCTTAGTGAATCGGTTTCTCTTGATAGACTCAGTGCATGCCGCAACTCTCAGGGATTAATTAACACCGAGAGCTTCATCCTTTATCCTTTATAAAGGCACCTTTTTCTTGTCCCTTTCTCTCTTTTTTTGTGGTCCTAATAGCCTTTTCACGGCTGTGAAAATTCCTGCAATCTCAAATTTTCGCTGAAAAATTAGGTAGTTGGTAAATTGTTTAGCTCAAAAGCATTGCTTGCAAGAAACAGTGAAAATCATTGGATTCATTGTGTACATCCTAATTATCACGCCGATACAGTGTTTTAGTGTGATATTTTGTAGAACAATCCATTCCATCTCATTTCAAGCGACCCCTGACCCATTGCACTTGGTTATTTTACACCATAACCCATCTTTTCTCCTTTCAAATACATAAAAAGGCACGGACTGCAAAGGATAGGAAAAAACAAACACTGGACTCGAATGATTTTGTTTACTACGGACGCCACCGCAGTCAACTTCAACCTTGCGTGTGAAAATTCTCTTATGTTTCATTAGAATCTACGACCTCGTCGCCTTCCGGTTACACCAGTGTCGAAACTAGAGCTCTCTGCTTGTACTTTTGCGCCCACAAGGTGGAGCTACTATGTGCGCTGATGGAGCATCCAGTCTGAACAATGCGCTCATTGGTGGAGGGACCATGCTATCAACATAACATCGTTGTGGAGAACCTAAACGCGTTTAAAAAGTAGAGTAGTACGCTGGTTTACTCCAAACCAGCTGATGTCGTCAATAAAGCTGACTGAACACCATTTGGTCATTCGTAGCAACCTAGCCTGCATAGGAACGAGTTTCTAAAAGACACGAAGGCGGCGAAAGCTAGCTGCTCTACCAAGCCTAAACGACCACACGCGAATTGGCTTGAATGAGGGTCACCTCTGCTGAAATCAAACCCACGTGACTGCAAGGTTGTTCCGTTCTGATAATCGGATTAAAGCGACATATTGTTTTGCGAAGTGTTGTCGGGTTATGAACAGATCGACGTGAAAGTCCACGCGTCTCAACTTCAACCTGTTGGGTGCCAAATTTCGAGCGAAGTAGGTGAGAAAAGGTCATGTCTAACTCACTATAAAACTTTACAATACATCTCTTCATCAGTGTGTCAGCAGTTCAGTGTCTCTTGAAAACTATCTCAAATCCCGCCAACAGCCAAACCTTGCGCTGCTCGATTTTCACTGTTTTTCTCGAAATCTGGAAAAATCCTTTTGCGGAAATCGTGTAGGCAACATCGCCGACGTCATATTGGGTCCCGAGCAATTGCCACAGTTGTTGAAGAAAAGCGCGCAGTTTTAGCGTGACAATTGGATAAGCACTACTGACCAAGTGAAATAAGTTTTAGGAACAGAAAACAAGTGGAAATGATACATTATTCTTCGTAAACACAAAAGCGTTCCAACCATTGCTACAAGAAACACCATGGTTACAAATATGTAAGAATAATTTTAGAAATAGCTAAGTTGTTGGTTGAAACTTTCGAGTTTGAGAGTTTCGAGAATCAAGTTCGAGAAACGTTCGTCGATTCAAATAAAGTCTGACTTATTGGTTATCCGCTTAATCTTGTGCGACGAGTAAGTTCCAAAGCACGCTTTTACTTCAGATGTTACATGAAAAAAGCTCTCATTGTTGATTAGTCTCTAAAGGGATGCCCATGCATTCAATTTCACAAAGTATCGTTTGAGATGATTGAATGAATAGCTGGCCCTTGCAATGACTCGCGGTGGCCTACCGATGTATCGAGCTAGTGCTGCTATCCTCCCAGACAAGTCTGGTACCAATTTGCCGACCCGGGTGTGATGGAAGGCTTGTTGGGCCATGTGGTACCGATTCCACATGTTTGTTGCAGAGCACCTCTGACCACTGCGCCACACGCGCCCTAGGGTGTTACATAAACTTAGTAATTTCGTATAAGCGAAGAGTTAAAAACTCTAATAATATTTAAAGAAGGAAAATAAATAGAAAGCTAAAACATTCGGCGTTGTTCAATATCTGAGTGATCTACTCTGCTTTCGACTTCATCAGGCACCAAAGGCGTGGTTTATATCTGGCTTATATCATTAATTCGTGGTGGCTCACCGACATATCAAGTTAGTACTTTTATCCTCTCATGCAAGTCTGACAACAATTTGCCGTGCACGGAAGGTTTGATGAACCCGTGAGACGGAATCCACCAGAGGATTACGTGTTTACTGCAGAGTATCTCTAACAATTACGCTACAAAAGCGCTTTTTAATGAATGGTGTTCTAGTTAACTCCACTTTATTACAGCAATAAAATGGACTATACGGGACGGAAGCGCTTCAAAAATCTTCGAAGATGTTGTGGTAAGAACTTTTACCTTCGATGATCTTCTTGTAGTTGCGTGGTACAAAACGGTCCATCCATTGTGAATCGACCATTTTCATGAGATCACATTCTCCTCCATCAACTACGGCAACAGCAAAATTCACAAAATGTCTGGACGATGTTTAAAACACTCACCTTGAAGTACAGCAAAAAGTACTACGAGCATTGTGTACATCACTTTTTCCACTTAAATGTGGTTCAAGATAATAAGATGTTGAAGGTGAATAGAGAAAAAAGTGCTAACGAAAAGCACTCGGCGACGAAATGACCGTTGCTAAGGTTGTGACGAATGTGTGTTCTGAACGAAATGATTGAAATCCGCGTGAGAATGACCTCGTTTGAGGCGAAGGCGATCAATGATGATGAATTGTTACACATTCGATTAAAAAAAGCATTATAAAGAAAAAACAACATTTTTAAGAAAATAGGTAAGCATTTGATGTATTCAATAAAGGGATAAAAAGCTCCGTAAAGGATGAAGCTCTCGGCGTTGATCAATACCTAAGGGAGTGCCATGCATTCGACCTCATTAAGCATAGTTGAAGATGATTGAATGAATATCTGGTCTTATATACATGACTCCCGGTGGACTACCGACGTATTAAGCCAGGCATGCTATCTTCCCAGACAGGTCTGGTACCAATTTACCGAGCCCAGAGGAATTGAGGTGGGGATCGATTCCAAGTGTGCGTTGCAGGACCCCTCCGACCACTGTGTCAAACGTGCCCTTTCTAATAAAGAAAACAAAATACTCTCCATTTTTTGACCAGTGGTGGACAGATCTGTTTTATGAATAGAGATATAATTTAAAAATGATGACGTTGTAAAAAGGGCTGCTTAGCTTAAAGGTATGGTTTTTGGGTCTCCAGTTGAACAGAATCATCAAGTGGATGTTGAAGGGCCGATGAAAATTGGGGAACAAAGCGGAAGGAAAGTGGCGTCGAAACTTCCCGTTTCAGCCGAAATACAAATTGGGATCTTTGGACGGACGAGATGATGTATGATTCGTCGAACATCTGGAGTACTTCCCGATGGATTCTAGCCAGACCCAGTTTCTCATTTGTGTTTGGGAAGAGCTTTTCGTTGCTACGCGTAGGTATTTGTTAGGAGGGATTGGAGATGACAGATAAAAATTTGTCAGCTGTCCCATAAGTTATAAGCGATGAATTTCTAACCAAAAAAATTAAATAAGTAATATGTAATAAAAGGGATAAAGGCCAAACCGTCCGAAGGCCATTAATTCCTGAAAGATGCCCTTTGCTGAGATATTTGCAAAACTCTGGACCGCAGGTGTCTATGGTGGGGAACGAACGCGCTATTATCCTTTCCGGGGAGTAACGCGTTCACCACCACACCATGCGGGTCCTTTGTTTCGCACGTCTCTCAGCTATTTCTATCGATCTTTTTGCCACAGCAATCACCCGTCAGCGGGGTTGATCTGGGGAGCGCAAATCGGCATAGAACCCAGTTAAGCTATGGCTGTAGTTGAAATCACAATGTTTTAACGTTTTGTTTTCTGCCTTCTATAATTTTCATGGCAGGTTACTAAGCGAAATACAACCACAATGTTGCTGAGATATTTGCAAGACTCTGGACCGCAGGTGTCTATGGTGGGGAACGAACGCGCTATTATCCTTTCCGGGGGAAACATTGTGATTTCAACTACAGCCATAGCTTAACTGGGTTCTATGCCGATTTGCGCTCCCCAGATCAACCCCGCTGACGGGTGATTGCTGTGGCAAAAAGATCGATAGAAATAGCTGAGAGACGTGCGAAACAAAGGACCCGCATGGTGTGGTGGTGAACGCGTTACTCCCCGGAAAGGATAATAGCGCGTTCGTTCCCCACCATAGACACCTGCGGTCCAGAGTTTTGCAAATATCTCGGCAACATTGTGGTTGTATTTCGCTTAGTAACCTGCCATGAAAATTATAGAAGGCAGAAAACAAAACGTTAAAACGATGCCCTTTGCATTCGATTTCATCGAAGATCGTTGGAGGTGAGGTATATTTGGCTTTAATAATAACTTGCGCGGCCTACCAATGTCTCAAGTCGAACTGTTTGCTTTCTTAGATAAAGTCTGGCATAATTTCCTGATAATGGGGGATCGGACTCTCAAATAGTCCGTGTTTTGAGATCGAACCAGCAACCACGCGTGTATTACATTGAATACCTATCCATTGCGCAACAATCGTCGATAATAATAATAAATTGGCAAACGAGCATTAGCAATGGTTTTTTAAAATATTATTCTGTTCTGTAAGAGCAGGGTTGGGTTAGTACTTGGACTGCAAACAGAGGACTTTTTGCAAACAAATCTGTTACATATTACCCGACTTGGAGGTATGTGACCTTGATGAGCCAGGAGCGGAGTCGAACCAACGCCGTGCTCGTAATAATCAACGCCACTACTGCTGCTCTAAGCACACCATTGCATTAA